TGAGCCGATAAAATCGAATTTAATTTACGTGTTCCGTGCCGCGCTAGCAATTAAAAGCAAATCGAGTTTTAATATAAAAACTAAAAGTCTCTTTTTCGCCGTTTGTTTTTGGCATATATTAGAAATACACCGTGTACGCTTAATTGTCAGTCGATGCCTCTGCGAAGTCCCGTTAGCGAGCGAACGAGAGAGAAATCTACTTGTCCGCGCGCGCGCGCACGAGCTCGTATCTATGCGATGGCAGCTTGACACCTGTGCTAATCGTCCCAAGGCGAGACTATATCCTGGGAATCGCTCCTCTCGATGCGCGCGCGGCCTTCCATTTGCCGCCTTCGTTGCATAGTTACATTGTAGGCTTACGCGCTTTCAAGCGCCAGCCAAGACATCTAATTAACTAGCCTGGTAGATTATTGAAGCTTTTGTATTATTGGATTTAGCTACTCTGCGTGCTACTGTTATTGATTTGGATGCTATACCGCTGTGTATTTTCGTTCGCTTTAACGATTTTCAAATAAAGTCGCGTCGTGTTTCCTTAGATTTTCTTTTTCCTTATAAGACAATTGAATCGTTATTTTTAAATTTGACTTTGAAGCGAATTATTGGATTCGCCACGCTACATGAATTATTGTAAATTTCGACAAATTTCATTAGAAGACTGTACAATGAAGCTTCATTTTATTGAATTTACTTGATGCAATTTAATTACACCTGCATAAGTGTGAATTTCGAATGCATATTAGACATCAAAAATAATCGATGTGGGATAATAGACAGATGCACATTTCCGCGAGATTGATATCACATCATTTCAGTTCCCTACACGGAAAATTAATTTCTGTTAAAAAATTACCGCTGCACGACTAAGAAGAGTGGAGACTTTCAACATCCCCAAATATTTTTCTCAGCCGAGAGAGCATGTTAAATCGATGTAAAGGAACGTTGGTGTTAAAAAAAAGTGTGCTGTGTAACAAAAAAAGGTTACTGGTCTGTTTTTGAGTCGCTTGTTGGTGTATGCTCGGCGAGAGAGAGAGAGAGAGAGAGTCAGGTTGAGGGAGGGGCGTGAGTGGCAGCCTGTGATGGTATTAGGGACGTGTTAGGGTTGTCGAAGGATCCCTCCGGGGACAACAAAAGGACCGCACGCAACGAGACGTACCGATGGACAACGCCATATTGGCCTGGAAATCGCTTTTAGCTTTCTCTGTCTCGCTCTCGTCATGCTCGCTCTCTCCGGCTCGACGGGCACTTTAGACGAAAATTTTCGTTGGTTTTTTGCGCGCGAAAATTAATTAGCCAAGCGCGAATAAACTTTAAGATGAATAAGGAAGGAAGGAAGGAAGGATTGAAAATGATATATCTACATATTTTCACACGCACGCACACACTCACGCACGCATGCACGCACACACATACACACATCCGAGTGTAGTATATATTCACCAATAGTGGCGCTAGCTGCGCAAGCTTAGTTCGCTCCATGCAGATTTCGGTAATTTCAGCCTCGACGACGTCCATCGCGTAATACTCCAAGTTGTGTGCTGGCAGAGTAGCCGGTGTACATACGTGCACACACAGCCGACTGAGCGAGTGAGCGAGTGAGAGAGTAGCTCCACTGCGGACTTTGCTCGGTCTCGCTCTAGCGCTGAGTTGGTAGCCCTGTGCCACCACCTCATTTGAATTTCTAATTAGGAAACCTCCATGCAATTATTGGATTAATGTAAATTACGAGAGCCGACTCTCTCTCTCTCTCTCTCACTGCGTGAACTGTGCCCCCCGCCCGCCCTTCACCCACGCTCTCCTTCTTTACCCCTACCGGCCACCACCGACGCGCGCCGAGGGTCGGGGATAATTAAAATCCGTTGATTAATATGTAAATTTAATAAGATTACTGTTCTAGGAATGCTCGATGCAGACGAGTTAGAAACTGAGTGCGAGCGAACTATGCAGCGCGACCTACGACAGACAGGGAATTACTAGACGCGACCTGTATTATCTTCGTTCTTCGCTTTTTTCCCATACGCTGCTCCGACTCGCGTACATCCAGCCGCTTGTTATACGTAGGATCTCTATTCCCTCGAGAGAGTGCTCGGAGTTTTGCTTTTTTACGAGCACCGCTCAAGTTTCCTACTCATGACGGATCAAATTTCTCTCATTTCTTTTTCGTCTCTGACCAATCGACTTTTACGAAAGCGATTAATAATCCTAAAATGAGCTTTTAATATTTAATGAGGAGATTCCTCATTTATGTATGCAGCACGCAAAGTCCTTCGCATTAACTCGTTAATAATTTATTCGCTATCGATGGCTCTTATGCGACGCGCAATAAATACCACCGCCGCTAACGATATAAGAAGCTTATAATAGGTAGCGTTGATTGGGGGATGCTTCATAAATATGCGCATTTAACAGAGCGCGTACGAATGTGGCTTCTTCGGAAAAATTGCATCGGATTTTTACGACTGAAAAGAATATTTTTTTATCACCCCCTTGCGTGGTATAATCGCCGATGCATTATCCATGATTTGCATACCGTCGGATGAGGAGGAAAGGGGGTAAGGGGGTGATATGGGTAGATGTAACGGCTGATTTTACTGTCGCGTTTTTTTTTTCGCCCCCCCCCCCCCTCCCGCCTCTAAAAAAGTATCGGATCTGTCGTATTGGCGAACATGCTTTTTTTTTGTCCCCACCTCCTCTGATATATCCCGCCAAAAAAATCGATTTTGCACTGAGCCTAACCATCCCCTACTCTGGTTCGAGTTTTTTCGACGAGTTGTGCAGGTATAGCGTATAGCGACTAGCAGTAGACCACTACTACTGTCAGTTTCGTTTAATTTGTAACATCACTTGCTATTTTAGTGTAGTCTACAAGCGTTATCGTGTTCTGTTACAAAAGCACCTCGTGAAAGTTTAAATTTCGTCAATAATCATATAGTGTGCGTCACTATTGTATCTTGACACTCGTTCTTTCTCGTAAAATGAAAACTCAGATGCAAATAAATGGGGAAAGACACTTTGCATGTATATGCGTAATTGTGTAAGCCACATAAATTATAACCAGAAAATATTGATAGTCCCTACAGATCGATCCATTGTAAATACCATAAAACAGAATTCAATATTTTTAAACCAGTCCCTTGTCGAAAAAAAAAACATACGCTAGAGCTGCTAAAAGATTAAACGGCATTAATACAAGATGAGACTTGATCGATGAAAAAAAGTTTTGCATTAGTACGTAGAGTAGGCAGCCACATCGGCAGCCGAATTGAATCGATGCCCAACGGCTAGTCTCTCGGGAGATGCGGATCCCCTCGGAGTCTTTCTCCCTGCACATGCATATCATTAGCGCGAGAGATTTTCAGCTAAACTCGCTCCCACGTACATATACAGACGCTCGCATGCACGCACACGGTTATAACGTGGAGACTAATAAAAATAATGCACCGGCGGTGGAGTTTGCAAATGAACGCCACGTCATCATTTGATTTGGGGTGGACGAGAGCGCAAAGAGCTGCTCGCGCAAGCTCTGACAGAGGCTAGGCGCGACGATAATTATGGATATTGAGAATATAGCTATAATTGACATTTCGTGTTAATGCATCGCGCGGCTCGCACTCACGGATAAACAAGGTTTGGCCCTCTCTATCCCGACCCTGAACATTGCCGCGAGGTAATGGCCACCGTAGCTGGACTATGTACTCTCGGGCAGGTTTTTCTCACTGCGTCCACATTTTTTGGCGCGTTGACCGTTCTTCTGTGTCAATTATCATGCACTGTCGACGCAGGGAGAATATTCCCGTACTCGAAAGCATCGCCGGATGAAAGCTCGTTTTGAATTCTCATCCAGTGTTGGCATGTTACGCATTAAGTTTTATAGCCGAGTATTGAAATGTCTCTTTATGGCATTTTGTATTTTTTTAGGGAAAGTCGGCGGGGCTGTGATGTAATGTTGGTTGTAAATTCTTGCTTGTTTGCTCGCATTCGTGGCAAGAAAACAAATTCTTTGATAGTTCGTGAAGTACGATAATGTTAAATAAGAAATTCGCTCGCTCAAAATCGACCTGGGTAAATAATATACCTCTAATGGTAATAATAATGCACCTCTGTAAATAATGGAAGTAATATAATTCACGGAACTAGCTATACATGATGTGTTTATTTTTTTATTGAACTAATTTGTAGCAGTAATTGAAATACTCGTTAATCAATAAAAATCATTTTTATTATGATTCATTAATAACATGAGACTTTCGTTTCAATTTTCATTATTATAAATGTAATTGTATGAGAATCAACAGAAAATATGAGTAAAAAGTAGAAACTCAATTAGACTTGTCTATATCGTAAATCATTACATCATACTCTAATGAAAATTCGCTCTCAAATAAATGAGAAAAATAGAATAAACGTGAAAATGGCGCGTATATAAGTTATATACCCACGCGGAGAGCTCGGCAGAAAAGCGATCACGCACACACGCAGAGGCGGCGGCAGAGCCGAGAGAGACACAAGCGTACACACATAACGACGTTTGAAAGTGGCTCGCGCGTGGCGGACTGGCCATATAATAACATTAAGCTTTATTTAGGTGAAGTTTAACTTTAAAACAGCGACTCTCGGCGACGCGTAATTATGCGAGAAGAGTGCTACGCAGGTGAAACAATGGCGTGATATATATTCGCGCGACGTTTTTTGCAAGACAAAGGCTCCCACGTACACGCGCTCGACACCTACCCCCGCCCTTCCCCTCCCAAAGTCCGAAACCTTTTCGTTAGTGGACTCTACGCGTCGCACGCGTACTTTTTTTGCACAGAAGCTCTCCGCAAGAGACATTGTTCTTGCTGAGAGTTATAATGAAAAGCGTTAAGGACTGTTTTAATTGTTTAATTTTCTTTTTTTTTTTCACTTCACTTTTGTATGCTTGTCTATGTATGTATTTACAATGATTTCACAGTTGCGTGACAACGATAATTAATCTTTTCGAAATTTTTCTCTGTCTGTTGCAGGTGAGTTATTCAAACGGACCGCAGTCGTCAGATTCTTTGCTAAATGGGAAAGACTCACTGGTAAAGTACCCCCTTTCATTAACGTTACCTTTCAGTAGAGAATAATTAGTCGCGTCCACGGCTTGCGAACGAAAATTAACAATGACCAAACGTAAAAGCGAAAGGGAAAAATGATTAAGAAATAAAATGCGTGGGCACAGTAACATTAGCTTCCGGCCCATCTCACACATGGCCAAAAAATACGCCGAGCGAAAAAAAGGTGGCGCGGAGTCTCGGCATTAAAATCTTATGGTATCAGTTTATGTTCAGTGCACGCCAAGCGTGAATCGTTGTTCGCGTCGCTTGCACCAAAGGCATTTATTAAAATGATAATTTCGTGCACAGGCCGACCAAAAAGAAAAAGCCAGCGAGTAGAGAATGGAGTGGGGATGGCGAGCGCGAAATAAAGCCCTACCTCCAAAGAGAGAAAAAAAGAGACGACCGACTGTGTGTCTGTGTGCGAGAAGCATGCGATAGCCGCGTATCTGTCGCTTACATGCGGCTGCTCGTGTGGATTTTAATAAACTCTCCGGCTGTATACGTGTGGCCCTCTCACTCCCTCTCGCCCCTCTCTCTCTCTCTCTCTCTCTCTCTCTCTCTCTCTCTCTCTCTCTCTCTCTCTCTCTCTCTCTCTCTCTCTCTCTCTCTCTCTCACTTTGTAGGTGTAGTTTCCAGGAGAGCGCGCCGATTTTTAAATATAGCCTTCCACGCTGGAGTTTAGGGAAAGGGATGGAAAGAGTCAAAGCTTTGGATGGAAAAAAAAGCGCGGAGCAGCCAGCCGTCTGTGTAGAATCTTTTGTTTAGCCAATTTTTCGATGATCGCGCCTATAATGCTCCAGATATCTATCCTCCGCATTTGAATTTGCGCGCCCTTCCGCAGCTTCGAGTATCGCCAGTGAAACGGAAGGTGTTTACGGCAGAAAGAAAAAAAATGCAGCAATAGGCGCGAGAACAAAGGCACAGCAGTTCGCCCGGGCGCGACACACATACGTTTATCTATTCTCTTTCATCATCTGTATGGCAATAGACACTCACACACAACGAGTGCAAAAAAAAAAAAAAGAAAAAAATATAGGCTCGCGAGAGAGAAAGACTGAGTGGGTGGCGCGGTGGTGGTGGCTTTTTTCGTCGTACGTTAATCGATGTTTCGTTTTCGATAAATTCCCCGCGAGCCTGCTAGCGCTCTTGCTCGGGCTCCCTTTTTTTTACGATTATCTCTTTTTTTTCAACCCCGCCAAAGAGAATCGCGGGCGTGTGTCTGCTCTCGATAAGCTTGAATAAGCCCGACTTTGCAAAATTTATTTTGAATCGTTTCCAGAGCCAAGCGGGACATTGTTAATTTGAAATTTTAATCGAAAGCTCAGCTTTTTTTCCTCGCTCTCGCTGCGAGCGTCTCTCTCGCTCTGCGTCAGTAACGCGGCTGAATAATTCGCGAATCTAAAATTACTCTCGGTAAATCACTGTTATTAATCGCAAGAGTAGACGAAACAAATATTCGGCAAGAAAGAGAGGTTCCGTTTTTTCCTCGTCTAGCGCGCGAAGATCATCGCAAACTCGCGATATAATTTTCGCGAAATCTATTTATAAATCGGTTTGCGAGAAAAAAGTCAGCACCTTAGCGCGCTCTCTCTCTCTCTCTCTCTCTCTCTCTCTCTCTCTCTCTCCTCTCTCTCTCTCTCTCTCTCTCTCTCTCTCTCTCTCTCTCTCTCTCTCTCTCTCTCTCTCTCTCTCGCTCGCTCGTAAGTAATGAAACGTGTTCTCGACTTGTCCCCCCCCTCTCCCTGGCGTTTTTATTGGAAATAAAATTAGACGTCGCCGCCGCTTTTAATTGGCTCTCGAAGGTTGCCGCCGCCGCTACCAGCGTTGCTGTACCGTTTATCATCGGACACGCGAATAAATTTTGGGCAAACGCTTGCAATCCTTTGCCTCGCGATTGTGTATAAATAAATACGCGACGACGAGGAGGAGCGGCTAAAAGCCAAAGTTTTTTCGCGTTTGCCCTCGAGAATCCCCGTAAATCGTGTCAAACCGACTCGTGCGCCACAATCGCACGGGTTAATTAGCTTGGCTTTCGTTCGCTCGCGAGAATCTTATATAATTAGCCGTCTTCAGCCTCGGCGCAGCAACAAAGCTACTTAGCCATGGTGGCACGCAATGGAAAGTCGTCGTCGCCGTCGTCGTCGTCGGAGTTTGCCTCCTGCTCCAGGGTTCGCTGGGTTATGAGCATTGACTTTGACGAATAAATTAGCAAGTAGGAGGCAGATAGACGCAGCGCGTGTATATCTGTGGGAGGGAGAGAGAACAGCGTTGAAGCTTATGCACGCATAACCGCCTCGCGCGCGCTTCATCTTGAAATACTCCGTCGCTATTCTTGGATTTCACAAGACGCCCAGCTCGAGAGTTCGTGTGTACGCTTTCGCGCGAGACAATAGCGGCTTAGGCGCACATTAAATTTAGCTGCCTGCGATGGGGGGCGAAGCTCTATTCTCATCCTGCTTTACCTAAATCGTGCAGATTTGCGGATTGTCGTTTTATTGTTTATTATAAACGAAACACGATGCCGCGCACTTTTGATTGCGACAACGGGGATTCGATGCGCACACTTGAATTATACGATTACGCGGCGACGAGATTTTACAGTGGCGTCTGCAGAAGATATTTGTACAGCGTGAAATCCAGTGCGGGCATATCCTCGAATTCCTGTGGTACGTGGCGCGCCAGCAGCGGCGAGACACACGAGAGGCTCAGCTCGTAAAGCACAGGGAAGCGCGAGATGCACGGGATATTAAGGCCATTATCGCCGTTGCATATTCATGCTGTATTATAATGAAAATACACTTTATTACCGAAGATTAACAGCTTCTTACTTGTGCAGTGTAGCACAGTTTTCGCCTCTCTTGCTCGTCATTCGCGAGCGAGCGCCCGAAAGCTGTAACTGCTTCGCTTCCCCTGAGAAACCGAATCGTCGTCGTCCGTTAGCCGCGTAAATTTCCCTTGGATTTTAATGCTCTTTCACCAGCTCCACGACTTTCCTTATCAAAACCAAGTAATTTCGTAACTCGATATCGCCTTGGCTTGCGAAATGTTCGCGTAAACCGCGAGCGGCCTCGATTCAAATGCTAAAATCCATAGCGGGACAAAAGTTACGCTATGCCACATTATTCCGCGCGAGGATTTATACATCTGCACGCGACGCGCCGAGGAAGGATTTTCTCGTGCGCGCCCAAAGACAATCAATATTCTCGCTCTATCGCGCGGGCAAATCACGTGACAAAACTGAAAGTTTGAGCTGCTCGGTAAATAAAGTGAATAATTCATTGTCCGTACGCTTGTTAACTCGTAGTCGGAGCGCCAAGAAGAAGAAGAAGAAGAAGAAGAAGGCGTGAGAGAGAGAGAGAGAGAGAGTGCGAATCGGGTCTCGAGCCACACGACGAACAAGAGAATAGGTGAGAATCTGCATAATATCGGTAATGCTCAAAATGCTAGTCGCGTAGGCTAGCGACGACTAGCAGTGCCGCTGCTCTGTGTTACTTACACTTCTCGTCTGCGCGCCTCCTCGCGAGCGAGCAACGCCCCGGCGTCAACTGAAACTCAATTATAATTAATTAATGCCGCTGCTAACTCCGCGTGTACCGGCCGGACAACTATTGCCGTGTTCCCTATCTGCCGTTTTCGTCAAGAGATCGTGAATCGAGTGCCGATTGTCTATGGCGACCAACCTCTCCTGCCTCGATTTCTAATCTCCTATTCGTCCGGATCGTCGTGGGCCGTGCGAATACTTTACGCGAACCTCGCTTTTCGCTTTTCGTCTTTAATCAGGCTACAATACTCAAATGTATTATGCATGGAGATGAAAATGAGGACCGGACATAATATCCGCGGCGGTGTCGCGCTCGGCTTGTATTTAGAAACCTTTGTGCAAAATGAATACTGTTAATTAACGCCCCTAAAAAGACATTAAACCAACCCCCAGACGACTGAGTATGGCTTCTCTATTTCTCGCTCGCTCTCGGCATTAGCGCACGTAAATAGGCGATTTTGCCTTGCACGGACACACACAGCCCGGAGTATGTTTTATCCAACGGAGTAGCAGCTCCGCCTACTTGAGCGGCGAATTATGTACGCGCTCGTGTCCTTTGTTTGAGCTAATGACACCGCGGCGTGTTATGTTTGATCGATAGGCGGCTATAGCCTACCTACGGCTATATCTACCCTACCCCCGCTCTGTCCGACGAGTAAAGCACACACATAACCGAGCTTACACTGTAATCTGTGGCGCGTCGCTGCGTCGTTATGCCGATTTGTTTATTCGATTCCCTATCTTCTTGAGCTCATTAACAATCGACCACACACAACCCGAATCCGAGCTGCTTTTCTTTTTGTCTTTGTTCTGTTGTCAATTGACTCGGATTTTTGAAACCTCGCAAGCAACGTTGGAAGATTTGACCGGCCAGCGAACACAGTAAGTCACGTTGAACGTACATGCATACAACTCTCTTGAACAGTCTGAATGAATAAGAGCCTCGGCGAGAAGAAAGAAAAATTGGCCTGCCCATTAAGTATGATTAGCGCACGATCGAATAAATTCCATCCAAAGAATTGATGATTGATGAATCGGCGCATTGAATTGGCATGACAATAGCGCAGGCGATCGTACGTACGAGTGAAAGGGTTTCAAGTACTCAAAGACAAAATTGAACATTGTAGGACGCACAATCAAAGTTTAAAGCGGTCCTTTCATCAAAGTATACATTATGAATGCAGCAGCGCGGCAAAGAAGCGGGGAGAACACTTGGGGTAGCGCGTATTCTCGCCCGATTTGTTTTAAAGTTGCGCGCGGCGCGTCTTCCTCGAGAGCGCGGGAGAGTATTAATTGCGCCTTGATTAATTAATTTATTCGCTCGCTCTGTCGCCAGAAAAGATTGTCCCCTTTGCAAAGGCAATTACAATATGAAAGGCGCATAAATCAGTGGCTTTAATTAACGTATTATTATGATTATTCGAGATACGCAAGCGCCAAG